AAGGAGCTTTTTACGATCAAAACTTCGGTTTTGACTTTTTTCATAATTATTGCATTTTGCAGATTTCTCGATTTTTCACAAGATCAAGACAAAGAGATTTTTCACAAGATTCGGGGTCTACACTTCAACTATATCATGAAAATGAGAAATTTCAATATTTAAGATAGGGAGATCGTCCTTCGTACAAAAAGCGGAACATTGACATTAAATTACTTTATTTTAACCTCTGAAGAAGGGGTACATTTGTATCAGATAAATCAGAACTTTTTAAATAAAACCTTCACATTTTTTCAGGAAAAATAAAATTCAATGGTTCTCGATTTTCAAAGAAATTCAAAATAATCCTACGGGATTTTTTGAAAATTTGTTCGGGGATTTATTCGGTGCATCTGCAGAGATATGAAATTCAATCACTTTGGATGAAACAAATTAATCCAGTTTCAAAAATTACTTTAAAAGCCCAATTCAGGTTACAGTTCGTTGATTTCAAAATTTCCCTTTATCCGAACAAAATATTACGACGAAAATTAAAAAAATCCCGCTCATACTTATGGGATCGAAAAAAATCGATTTCCGAAGCCCTTGTCTTGAAATTGTAAAAAAATCGACAAATCGAATTACAGTACTGTATCATGAAAAAAGTCAAAACCGAAGTTCTGGTCGTGAAAAGCTCCTTCAGTTCATTTTCGAAAATTTGTGAGTACAGCTAGTGCATTTGAAAATCCTCGTCCAAGGTTTGAAGTCTGAAATCGTCTGCATTCAATTTTATCGAATTAAAGAATAAGCCATTAGTTTAATTACATAATTTGAATCCAGAGCCTTCGTTTTCAAATCCAGTATCATTAGTTTGAAGGAGAGAAAAGAGGCAGGAAAGTATAGAAACCCCACTTGCATTCGAAAATTTGCATTATTCAAATTTACAATGTATTCTAATGTGTTTCAAATTCAACGGAAAATTTTACGCTTCGAAACTCTAAAATTGGTTTCAAACAATAATGAAATCAGAAGATTCATGGGTCTACTCTGTAAGTTTAGTTTAAGTTGCGAAGTTAGTTCACACGTCAAAGTACTATGATCACTCAAGAGTGTCCACAAAATGAACACAGTGGTTTTACCTCGAGTACTCTGGAAGGCCACAGTTTTACCTACCATATTCACGGGATCAGTGCTGGTGTGCAATTGGTGGTACGCGACGGGTTGTGGCAGTGGAGCGACACCTGTACAAGGAGGAGAAGTAGGTACAAGAGGCCCTGATCCATTCGTACCAGTTGTCGCTGCTTTCGATCTTACACCAATTCATCACATGACAGGCATGGGAGTACAAGGGGGATTCAATCATCCAGGTATCTTACCACTGATTCATTTCCAAATTGTGAAAAAAAATTGACTGAAATATAATTTCAGGAGTGGAACAGGAGAATTTTATTCCCGAATCTGCAGCCCAGACAATTGACCCAAATAAGAAAAGTATTGTCAGAAAATTTGTTACAGCTCCAGCACAACATCATTCTGTGAATGCACCCAGCAACAATAATGTACCTCCAAACCAACAAGGGAAACGTTCCCATAAGAATTCAGTCCTCAGACTGAAAAAGTTACCACAAGATCAACTTCAGCATCTGACCACTCAACTCCCAGTGCCACAGTTGTTACAGTCAGCAAATCTTCAGTAACGTGGTTGGGGTCGAAGTAAGTGTCTACACGTCTAGAGTCCTTTTTAGTCCTAAGGTCACAGTGGTCTCTTTGACAAGAGACCGTGAGTGAATAAGGTCCTTAAAGTGAAGTTTGTTTGCAGTAATTCTACTGCTGATGTGCAAACTCAGGGCAGTGAGATAGCAAGTCATTCTCAGCAAGTACAAAAAGCAGAAAATCTCAAGCAGGAAAGTCAAGGTGCAGTCACAGAGAATGTTGTGAGGAAATTCAATCTCATGGGCCCTGATTTGGAAATGCTGCAGAGATTCTTCCAAAATGTGAGTAGCCAATGTTTTTGTGTGACAAACATTTATCAAATACCACTACTGGAACTTCTTTGCAAAAAAAAAGGATTTTGAACATATTGCCTGGCACTGAGAATTTAATGTAGTCCTACTTTTGCAAGTACACCTGAGTTGAATTTATAAAACCAGAAAAATATAAGTAACATTGCATTCACTGGCATAAAAATTAGATTAAAAATTCATCATGAAAATATTTTCAGAGGCCTTTTCCAAAATTCTGAAAACAGAAATTCAGATTCAGTCCAAAAATCTATTGTTGGGCATTTTTCCAGTTTTCATTAAAACTAAAATATTGGAATCTATTTCATTCATATCCAAATTATTTCTGCAAAAAAGAACTGGACAAAATATAAAACATGAGAATATATTACAATGCTAAAGATTAAAAAAAAAATTGGACCTCAATTTTGTTTGAAAATTTCTTGATTCAGTAACCAATGAAAGACTTGGGTTTGAACATCCAGTGAAAAAATTTCAAAATTACGTTAGAATATCAACATGCCTAATACAGTAATACACATTCATTTAATTTTTCTTGGTGTTCAGGAGTTTCTGCAAAAAGATTCCCATTACATATACTTTACAGGTGGACTCTCACTAAAACAATATTCTCTTTCTCTGCATAAAAATCTGATTTTGGTCCAATTGCAGGTTCTCTCCCCATAACTACAATTCATTTTTCTGATCCCTTGAATTTTGTTGTAGAGACAGGGTCCACCTGCATTATAAAAATTTTGAAAGTGATCCCCTTACACACTTTCACATTCTTACATCCAATTATAAGATTCATTTCTTGCTTTTCAGGCATCTCAACCTCAAGCTTTGATTGACCAAGTGCAACCCCATCAACATCAGTCATCAGAAAAAAATTCCACCAATGCCCCAACTCAAAACAGACAGCATCAATTGCAAACTAACCCATCAACATCCAACCATGCGCAGGGCCCAGATAAGGGCTCCTGACTGGAGCAAGAACTTCTCTCAAGCAGCTATGGAACCAACTGTGCTGCTCCTTCCCTTTGTCCATTTCACTCTGTTCTTTTGGCAACACTGGTCTTCAGTGTGAATCCAACAAACATTTCCTTGCTTTAATGTTCACCATGCTTTTTCCTCTTTTCTTAAGGCATTTTGGAAGCAACCTCTCATTTTCTCATTCGGGGTGCTAAATGAAAAAATTATTTTAAACATCTCTCAAGACATGCACTGAATTTAAAACCATCATTCTATACTACACCTTGATTCATTCTATACCTTTTCAGCAAGGTGGATTTGAAATTTTCAAATGTAATTAAAAAATACAATTTGAAACACTTAGAATTCAAAAATTCTGAAAGAAGTTACCAGGAGACTAAACAATGCTGGGGTTCAAAGGGTTTTGTCCTCCTTTGCTTAGAGTGAAAATGTAAAGTTGGATTTCTTGTTCATTCCTAGCCACTAAATATTTATTTTGGAGGCATGAACTGAAATACCAAATTACTTCTTGTTTTCCTCTACTAGTTCTAAGCTTCTAAAACACAAAAGCTTTCAACTGTAAAAACTGTGCTTCAAACGCAATGAGACAAGAAGTTTCACTGCACGCAAAATGTGAATATTTCCAGAAAAGTTACCAGGAAATCAATGAAAGAAAACAATGCTTTGATCAAAAAATACATAGTTTGTATTTATAATTAAAAATCATTGAATGGAATATGCACCAATGGTTTTTGTAGATATTGAAAATATCAAATTTACACAGAAAAATGTTCACAATGCACAAAATGTGAATACAAGTGACAAAAGTTACCACCATGTACGTGACCAACGGAAAGAAACAATGCTTGCATTTGAAAATACTGTATACATATTCCGTATATTTTGGCTAGAAAATATTGAATGGAATAAAAACAATATTTTGCTAAGGCTTTTTTTTCCTGAATTTTTTACGATTTGAAATTTCCTGCACTAAATGTGAATAATCCAGGGCAAATTTCAAACAATATCTGCTGTACTTGATTGAGGCAAAAATTGAGCTGAATTGAAGCAAAACTGGCGTTATTTTTCTCCTAGAATAAGGTAAAATTTTGCGCGGAAAGGCTGAAAGCGCTCATCATTGAAACAAAATCAGTTATGACAAAGTCAAATATTGCAAGACAAGTCTTGCAATGATACCAGTTTGTTAACTGAAAAAAAAAGGTTTCAATTATTCAATATAAAATTATTAAAATGCATAGAAAAGTTTTTATTCGGATTATTCCACGTAGCCATTAATCTTGATGCCCACTGAGCTCAAGTGCCCCGCAAGAAGTTAGATATTCAACTTTTTCGCAGAAGGCACGGAGTTCAACATTCTGTAAAAATTTATTTTTTCATCAGTCCCGTATCACAAAAATTGAATCGTTCTAGCATTCGGCTACTCACATGAGAGATTGGCTTCACCAGACATTTGGCATACCATGGAAGAAACGCCATCCTGCTTCAATCGATTCGTCAACTTGAAAATGAAGAAATGTGTTGATTTCCGTTAACAACAGGAATATCGCGTACCGCGTACCACAAATGACACTTGAAACTGATTCTGAAAATCACGGTCCTGCTGCTGTGCGACCTGTAGAAATTACAAATAAACCTACACAGTCTTTAATAAAAGGTCGCAAACGTGGAAATCTGTTTTTTTTTTTTTCGAAACAACATAGAACTCATTCATGACCCTTGCAGTAAGAAAATGAAAATAAAGCCAAAATTCTAAAAATAATTTTCAAATTCTTGGCAACCTTGAAACGTGAATGAAGGACAGTTGAACTTCTTGAAATCTAATTTGAAGCTACTTCAACAACTGACACGGATTACATCATAGAACCATTTCGAAAATTCACAACGTTGCCAAAATTGCCGAAAAAATAGTTGTCATTCATCCATTTAATTTAGAGAAACACGAACTTTATCACGAACAAGGAACCGGACGGTTTCGAGTTCGTTGTCAGAGACACCACTGTGAACAGGAAAGACGGAAGACGAATCACCTCACATGATTCCAATAATCAAACTTTATCTTTCCCAACGATTTCCCAGAAAAACGAGGCTTGAGAAAGATTCAAAACGCGAAATAGAAAGCAAAAAACACTTCGAACAACCTCAAGATGCGGCTCGTGTAAAAAATAATTGCCCAAAACAATTTTAATCACAGGTGAAAGGCGGTTCGAGTACTCGCTGCACAAGAACAATTTCGTTTCTTTTTTGTTCCTTAAGATATTTTAAACAAAATAAACAAGCTCCTCCAGGAATGTCTTTCTTCTTTCGAATCTTCCCACGTCCCTTTACGTACGAGTTAAAAAAAAAAACGCGAGAAATCACAAAATGTGATACAAATTGCTCAAACAACACAAGGACAGTTGGACGAAATCTAACAAAATTACAACCTCAGTGCCTACACATCTTTTCTGGCTTCGTGAATTGAAAACCGGAGTATTTCATAAATTAATTTTTGAATTGAATTATAGAAGAAATACTGTATTTACTACCGGGAAAGCGTAATTTTTAAAAAACAAATTATGCAGTCAAATCTTTTCCACGGATTATTTCACGACATTTTTTACTTAAAAACCTGCATCCAAATTGTGGGCAGGCATATTTCAAAAGAAAACCTGGATGAGCGAAAAGACAAATCCTACACACACCGTAAATGCTTAGATTCTCCTAATTTCCGAAAAATATAATTCCTAAAAGTTACAAATTTACTTAGAAATGAATATTATTACATCCTCGACTCTTCAACAGACGAAATACGAACCATTTGGATTAGATTATGCAAGTAAGAAGCGAGCAAAGACAGCAACCGATTTTTTTTGAGCACCCGAAAGGATAAAGAAGCGTATTCTTGAGTGAAAAGGATACACATCTGTTACGAACACTCACCTAATACTAGGGAAAGTGCTCTCAAATCGACCATTCAAATAAAATACCACCAATCGAAAAGCTCAGTTGAAAAAAAAAAAAGTTTTGAATATCGATAGAAGAAAAAAATCGTATCGCAGTTGATGAAAATAATCAGTCCTTAGCTTCTTCCTTCGCCTGGCTCCTCAAACAATAGGCAGTGTGCATGGACCATATGCTCAGGGGACGCATGTAGCCCGGGGCCCTGTAGTACTTGTCAGCTGTCAGCGCTTCTGGCGTCTGGAAACCCAGTCCACTCTTGTCGTACACCGTCGTATAAATACCCTTGGCTGTTTGAAAAGCTTCCCGATCCATTCCCTGCAAATGCGTAATCACACAAACAGAAAAATTATAGCAAATACAAGCTAAAATATCCACTGCAACCCCGGATAATGGACACAGGCGAACAATCATTTTTATCGAAATAGTGAACCATGATTCCGAATTACACTGCACAAAAACTGATTAAATTCGAATCTGCACAGAAAATTACGGTCAAAAATATTTTCAAGGGGGCAGACATTTTTACAATTTTCGACTGCGCTTGGCTTTGTTTCCATTGCTTCCTAATTTCTGCTAGAATTTCGTGACACATGAATATTTTGAACTTTCATGCATACTAGCACTTTACCGTGATTAATATGAGTACCATGCGCCCAAGAGTAAAGACATTCATCTTAGTTTTTTCAAGCCAACATTTTGGAACAAATTCCATACCCGGAAAAGACGCACACCTTCGTTTTCCAGATACCAAATTTAACACTTTAAAGCTGCATGGAGTAAAAATGCGAATACAGGCACAATTAAACGTTGAAGTGTTTCTCTCGTGCACATCATTACAAAGAACATAAGAAGACGATTTTAATAAGGGAAAAAAGTTCCAAAAATTTACTGAAAAATGTAAGGCTTCCGATCCCAGTTCTTAGAAAAAAAAAGAACAATCACAAGCATGCTCACTCAGTCCAGAATTTTGGAAGTAAAATTCCTGGGAACCTGGAATCGATCAATCATTCCACGAAAATCCATTCCACAATCAGATAATCAATCCAATTACTTTACAGAACAAATCTATTTATTGCACTACAGTAAGCAGCGTTTCCTTTTTCATGGTTTCCAAATTTTACAGCCAGTCTCGTGTAGACTAATAAATACTGTATTTGCGTCATTCTTAAATTCCAGGGTGACCTAACCCGAATGTGCTTCAAGTTGATGAAGCGAAATTCATCGCACTTACGTAAAGGAGCATAATCGACGCCAAAGCATAATTCACGCCAGTCCACGTTTCTTCAGCCTGAGCTGCTGTGATGTCCGGCCGGCCCGAGACTGGCGAGAACCCATTAACGGCACCCATTTCCCCACCCATCCATTTTTCCACATTGTTTTCAAAAACTGTCTTCAGAATGCTCTCGATTCTGCTCCGGGTCAGCGCCTGTCAAATAGGACAAGACAAGAAAGATAAAATCACATCTTCGCAAGAACAATACTAAGAAAAAATGTACAAACCGGACTCAGCGGTGCTTCGATCGCAACCGAAGCGCGATCCCATGACTCGAGACCAATGAGCAAAGACCACAGTCCCGACAGCTGGTCAGCAATAATTGTGCGTCTCCGATCACCACTCGAAGAGTCAAAGTCGTAGTATGACCCTGAGTAGGTTTCACAAACACATACCGTATCAGTGAGACACCCGACATAAGCACGCTCCGACTTAGGGACACTAAACAAGTCAATAAATACCGACCCGAGATAAAAAAAAAATTATTAAACGGACACTTTCCAAAATCTCTAGAAAAAAATGAGAAATTCAATTTTTCAACACTTTGATACCTCCTGGACAAATGGAACTCCAGAATTTATAGTCACGTGAATTTAAAATAGATTTCATAACAAAATTACTCTGTCATATCTGAAAAAAACGAAACTAATTTGGGCTTCTTTTTTTTTGTTTCCTCCATCATCTGTGCACAGTTTAGGTGGACTTGTCATTGTTTTCTGCTTCTTGAGCTCCTTTTGATGCCAAAATATCAGATTCTGTGTGGGTTTCTTCAACAGTTATTTCTGTATGCTGAAGTTGGGGAATGAATTTATGCTACATTTTTTGGGGGCTTTATTCCTAAATCAACAGGAGAACCAATTAAATAGGTTTGCATTCAAGTTTACAGGAAAACATGATCTAACATGCTAACATTCCAATACAGGAACAAGATCCAAGCACCAATTGTGTCCGTATCTTGGGGCCCCACTGTACATAGGGCCAGGGGGCCCAACTTATGGAAAATTTGACTAAGGTACATTTAAAACTAAAAAAAAAAATTTGCCAAAATATCTGGAGATACAGATACTTTCCTAACACTTTTTTTAATTTTCGAAGTCTACAAGAAAACGTGATCCAACGTGTGGACGCTCCAACACAGGGACAAGCATCAATTACGTCCGCATCTCGGGTCCCCAATTGCACATATTTCCAACAACAAATCAGTACCAAAAATTGTTTGCGTCACACTCACCATTCCACAACTGCGCATCCAACGCTCCCACGGCCTTGCTCATCAGGGCAGCATACTTGCTCGATTCTTCCTCATCCCCAATCACACCTGCCATCTTCCACATGGAAAACAGACTGCAAACCCACAAAATGCCGCAATACGCACTCGGACCATCCATGACCCACATGTCATAGGTCTGGTCCGGATGATGCGGGTCATTCTCAATCATGCCGTCTTTGTCCTTGTCCCAGTGGTCCTCGGCTTTCCGCATCACAGACAGACACATGGGCCAGACTTTGGCCAGGAACCAGGTCTGATTCGGGCCTTGCTCGAGACTCGGGAAACATGTCGAGTAGGCCCGGTACGATTCCAGTACAAATTTAAGGTTCAGGTCCTTCCACTCCGCCGTGTTGTGACTCAGGTACGCGTTCGTCTTCTCCCATGGATTTTCGCCTGTTGATGAGAAAAAAAAGAGAGATAATTACATTGGGACCCTGACAAACGGACGATTCGACGAGGGTACACTTGAAAAAATCTATCAAAACATCAGGACTTAATCTCGAGATACAGACACGTTTCCATTATTTCTAGATGAATAAAAAATATTCTCAATTTTTACATATCTTGAAGAAATTTAGCTGAAGTGAAATCCCGTTACAAGAAACTCGCAGAGACTTCGGAAAAAATGTTTTACACTTTGTAATTCTTTATTACGAGATTTTAAAAATAAATTACTGTACAGGAAAATACAGTAATTCAAAATAGACCGGCATACTGTATACTATAGCTATGTTCACAAAATTGAAGATTAATTTCATCACAAAATTACTCTACTCCAATTCACAATCAAGAACAGGCTCAATTTGTGCTTCTTTTTTCATCATGTGTGCACACTATAGCTGGACTTGTTCTTGAGCACCTCCTGATACCAAAAGATCAGCTTCGGTGTGGGTTTCTTCTACGAAGTTATTTTATCTACCTCAAAGTTGAGAAAAATATTCTTATTCGATTTTTGGGGACTCAATTCCTGATTTCTAACAACCAGTTGAACCAATTAAATACTGTATGTTCCTCTTCAAGTCTATGGGAAAATGTGATCTGAAATAGGGACAACGGCCAAGCACCAATTGCGTCCACATCTCGGGGCCCTACTTTACTTTTTGAGACATTTGGCACAAAGTCTATGAACTCAATAACTCATGACTAAAAACTGAGGACTACAGAGCTGCTGAATTTTCAGCAGTACTCACCGGGACAACCCAAATCGTGCGGGACGGAGTTGACGTACTTGCGTTGAAGTCGACCACCACTGGAGTGGTACCAAACAACTGACTTGTCTTGAACAGGCACAGCTTCCGCCACATCCACCATCATGGAGAGCTCCAAGCCGGGCCAGAGCTGGCCAAATGAAGCGGATGCGTAGAAGTGCACATCGACGGTGTTGTACATTATGTACTCGTGGCTCTCCAGGTAAAGGAATCGACCAAACTCTTTCCTGTAACAATATAATGCGAAAATAAAATAACAGTCGAACATACAAAATTTCAGGAAAATTCACTGAAATTTTCTCACAAGGGTGGAATCTATCAAAAGCGATTTTCTCCGTAAAAAGAATTTTGTTGTTGATCCCATTGGATTCTCTCCTCATGTTCTAGGAGATCTCTACAACGAAATTCAATGGACCAGAAATAAAAAATTGCTGTAGAGTCAACTTGTACAAGACAATTTTTCCACATTCTGGATTTATGGAATCAAGTTTTACACGCAAAACGGAATAATACTCGAATTGAAAGACGAGTTGGAAATACAGTCAAGCCTCAATTTAGTGTCAAACTTGCAAAGTGCCACAAATCTTCCTCCATTGCGTCCTTGAGGAAAATCCCGATTTAAAGCCGCAAAAAAACATTGTCATAGACCCTCGCCACCGATTTGCAGAAGTCGCAAAAATTGAGGTATTTTCTGGGGATATCATTGGGTTTTACCAAGAATTACATGCCCATGCAAACACTCAAGATAGTTTCGAACATTGTACCTCTGGGTTTGCATTGTTGAGAAAGCTATTACATTGTCTTTTTTAGACATATTGAAATATTGCATGTCTGAGCTTCAAATTACAGTATCTCTTGTTGCTTCATCTCTTATAAAACAGAGTCAGTGGTCTAAAAATTCTGTGAACAAGCTCATTTTGTCCGAAGTAGAAACCCTTGACTAAAACTTCTCATCATACACTTCCCTCGATCAAGTGCCACAAAATTTGCCAGGACAAACGATGGCACTAAATCGAGGTTTGACCGTAATTAATGCTTCCTCACATTCACTATTACAAATATATGAAAATAAAATAAATCAAGATGCCTCACCGTGGATCGCCATCTTCTAATTTCGATGTCATCTCCCGATCGCAGTCAACCCACACTGCGCCACCATCAGCCACATAATACAGTTCATTAAATAAAGCCGACTTGAACCAAGTAGGTAATTTTCTGAAGAATCAAAAATCAATTACAAGAAGCACAATCGCAGGAATCAACTCAGTTACTCGCTACTCACGGATCCTTCAGAATGGGATTCTGCCAAGCATCAATTTCGGACTCCCACTGCGCATAATTAGCGAGTGAATAGGTAATTATTTCCTTCGCAGAAGAGAACCATCGGACGTGTCGACGCGTGCAATTCGCATCGGCAGAGGCAAAAGGAAACTTCACACGTGGGTTATGCCATGCTACGGCCATTTCAATCGTCCGGAAACGGGTTTCCCGGCTCAAAGAGAATGCCAAAGAAACGGCACCACCTGAAAAATCGAAAAAAATTGTATCAGACTAAATCAAGACACGGAATTCGGCGGAATTTGGGATTTTCAAAATCGTAGCTTCGATAATACAGAGGGGGCTCCGAGATGCGGACGTAATTGGTGCTTTGACCTCGTCCTCATCTCGGAGCGGGCCATCTGTTGACTCACATTATCACATGGACTTCAAAGGAAATATATTCGATTGGTTCTCCCATGATTTGAAATTAGGTATAAATTCTCCAAAAAATTGAATAACAATTCGTCTAAATACTGTACAGAAAATAACTGCAGAATAAAACCATACTGAATCTGATCTTTTGGCAAAGAATAAGAACAAAACAAGTCAAGCTTTACTATTTACACTCGAGGGAAAGAACTCCGAGGAAAAATAAAAAAATTGGTTTTTCCCATGAACTAGGAATAATTTCAAATTATTTTTTTGTGAATATAATTAGCTCAATTGCTGTACTTCGAGATGTGAAAAAATGAAATGAAATTTCTTCATTTCGATTGTAGAGGGGTAGAAGTGTCCGCTACTTGAAACATTGTCCGTATGTCGGGGCATATTTTCAGAGTTTCAAGTGTCCCTTAGTCGAATCGTCCGCATGTTGGGGTCCCACCACGATTCGAATCATTGAATGGTCCCTCAGTTGAAAGGGCAGGAACTTCCCAGAAAACATTTTTCTCGCAACTGAACTGCGGTGGCACCGATTTAAATTTAAAGCAGAACAGTTCGAAGCTTTTTCACGGTTTATAAGTGTGTTGAATTTTACTTTCCCAGTATCCGCTATTCTTCTATATTTAAAAAATAGAACAATTTCACGGCCTCTCCACGCAAAACATTTCTGCAACCATTTGATGCTCAATTTCTTCACCCAATGCTCACCTCGTCCATTTTTAAATCCTTCGACACCGTTCAGTCCACCCTTCCATTCACATGGCAGACGACCATTCTTTTCCAGCGATGTCCAAACAACACCACCATTTCCATTGACATCGAAGTTCGGTAATAACGTCACCTCGTCTTTGTTCGTCGCCATCATTCCAATGGCATAGCTTGTGCCGAATTCCGAGCTGTCATTGAAGAGCAGTCCCCGCACTTGATTGTCTTCAAATGCTTGGTGTTCAGAGCACGAGTTCTCGCCGTTTCCATCGTCCGTCCAAGAGAATGACAGACTCACATCCACACTTTCTTCATCACCCACATACTCCACATCCCACACGAATACGCCAACGGGCAAAGACGAATCCTGTAAAATTCACAGAAAAATGCCCATCAAAATAAACATTGAAAACAAGAAGCAGATGAACAGTGAGGCCCCAAAATAAGGAAGAAAATTAGTTTGGACCTTTCCTCTATGTTAGATCCCTTTTTCCATACACTTCAATGGGAACATTTTCAATGCGCTCTCCTGTTTGTCAAACGTTTGGAAAATTTCCACAAAAAATCAAATGAATATTTCTGATCAACTTCAAGATACAGAAAATAACTGAAGAAGAAATACACACTCAATCTACTTCTTTTTTTTTGCCCAAAAAGGTAAGAACATGTACAAGTCTTGCTATATTGTGCACAGATGGTGGAAAAAAACCCTATAATTAAAAACACAACATATATAAAAATCAGTCTGTTTAGTGTTTAGGATCATAAATTACGAGTAAATTTGAAATAGGATTTACAGTATTTAATCAATTCCCATTCAGCCAAAAAATGTGATTTAATTTTATCACCAAATAAGACACACCCCATTTTTAGTGACACTAAAACTGCAATATTTTGAAAATAAAAGCGCTCAAATTTGATTTCAGACATGAATTGAACTGAAATTCAACTAATTTGCAATTATTTCCAAAAAATGAGTTTACCTGATAAGATCGATCTAAAACTTGCTAAACTTTATAACTAAGTCTAATGCACACCTAAACTTCTAAAACTTTTGAAAAAAATTTATACCTAGCTATGACCCCCACCCCCTTTTTCCCCCTTAAATTTCGAGAAAAAGGGTGGGCATTGTAACTGAGTAAATATGGTATTCCGCATTCTTATGTATATTTTCTCTAGTACTGTAATGTACCACGCACACCTTCCCTCTCAGAAAATCGAGGCAGAAAATTGGGGAGCACGTTGTAAGCAGGTACAAATTTTTTAAAGAGTGAAAAATCATGAAAGCATATCGGTGTGTCATAAGTTAGTCTCAGGTGAAAAAAACAGAATCGAAAATACTGCTTGGCACCAATCCTGATGGAATTGGTTTTCATGTTTTTTTTTTAATTACGGTATAAGGATGTTCTGTTATTAAATATTATTCGGTAAATTGATTTTTATTCTTAAATTACAAAAAGTCAGGAGCGGGTCTTGTGAAGGGATAGGTGTCTGGACAAATTTTGTGCTCAAAATCTAGGTGCAAGCCTCAATCAAGGTCACCTGGTACTTGAGTAACTATTTGATTAATACATATCAAAATCTCGAAAAATTAAAATTGATCCATTTCTTCAGAAATTTCGGCATTGCCCATATCTCGAGACATTGTCCAAATGTGGGGGGAAATTTTCAACGCTTGAAGTGTCGTCAAATCGTCCGTATGTCGGGGTCACTCAATATATGCACAGTATACATATAGTCTACCTTGTAGTTGTGGGGCAGCACAGGTGAAATTTGACGACATATCAGCACTAGTCCGAATTCCTGGCGCAAGTCGTAGCGCGTCCATGACCGCGGAAAAAGACCAACGTATTCCACATTTCCAGGGGAAACACCGCAGTTCCACTTGCTTAAATCCGACTTATTCTTCCGTTGGCCAGCCAGAGTCGTCACTTTCCACTTCTCACCACTGACAAGAGGCGCAGTCGATCCTTCGCCATGGGATCCGCGAATTGCCTTCTCTTCTGAATGCTTGCCCAAACTCTGCCCACCCTTGACACTCAAGAGGAAATTGTCACTGAACGCTGGTCCGTACTTGTAAATTGACGCAGGATTGATTTGCCGCCGACAAAAGTCACCGCGGAATGATCGTCCAATGGTACCACCACCAATCCCTCCGATGGGTACTCCTAAAAGCGAAACAGAAATGTTTATAGATACAGAAAAACAGGGTTTCGCAACTGTTCCACCACCGTAGATTTTCTTGGCATCCACCATGCGAAAGTTATCGATGAATATTGCCCGTCTCCGGATACGCATATAGATGTACCACAGGGAGTACCTATGCAAAAAAGTGCTAAAGCTTTACTAAATGATGACGGAACACATGCACGAAAGTCTTCTTTTTATACGAGCCTGAGCTTTAGCTTACGATACATGCGAAGAGCGAAAGTGCTTTCGGAAAAATTGCAAGAAAAAAGAGCCCCGAAAACATTCCAACTCGAAAAGACTTCTGGATGTAAGATTCTAGAAAATTGAGAATAATGAGTTCTCGGATAACGACGAACCATTGGAATTACTATACTGTAGTATCTTACATGTTCTTGGAAAGAAGCAACCGAATATCTCAATTACGGCGTCGTATAAGTTAAAAAGGCGAGACTTCGGATACTCTTACATAGGCCACATTTCAGCTTCCAGAAAATGTGGCCCTTACGCGCGTGATTAAAATGAAAAATCAGGAAATAAATCACTGTACCGTATCCCAGTAGGAATGAGTGACCAAATCCAGTTCCAGCGCAACTGAATACCCGGCCGTCTTTTCTGCGCGAACTCAACATCGCCTTTCACGCGCCAACCAAATTCAGGCAATTCCATTTTCGAAACTTATGCCTCACGAACTAACGCAAAACATGTTTCCTGAAACTGGAAGATGAAGGCGGGAAAATTATCCAACTCGCGTTGACATCAAAAGGTACGGTGAACATTTGACCAAATAACCTTCGCGAATGTATCTCTCCCGCAAGACTTCGTGCGGCTAATTACGTACATAAACGAAACCTCGCACATGCTCAAATCCAAAGCTGAAGGCCCCACTCAGGATATGTACGTACGGCATTTTGTGCACACTCCAAAAATATTGACTTACGAGTTGGTAACAGTGAGATGCCCACTTAAATTTATAGAAGAAAAAAGCCGAAGATTGGCATTCTAATAAGAGAAATGACTCAGTCATGGTCCACAAAAAAAGTTAGAACAATGTAGGAACGAAAAAATCAACGCGAATAGAACTGACTTTTGTGAAATCGGAGCTGTAAAAACAACCTATCTGTTCGCACAACAGATTACCCCGGGCTAAATAGCATTGCAAATACCAAATCACACACCGGCTGCAAACGCCGAGAACAACCCATTTGCGATGCAGTAGCACGAAGAATGACCAATTCATGTCTTCAGACTCTTCACTGACATTTCGACTCGCACAGTGAAGTCGGCCCAATCCAAAACCGGCTTTTTGTTGACATGCGAGTGCACGGTTATGGTACGTACCATCCACGTCGCTAGCGACATCTACCTTTACATCTCCTGAAGCCAAAGTTGCCAACACCCCTTTGCTGTATGCTGTTCTTCCTCCATCCTTTCAGTACAGTGCTGAAAAATGCTCTTTCAGGGTATATTCAGTGGCATTCCCGCACTCGACAGCAAATCGACGGTTAAAAGAATCACCTCCGGAGATGCAATAAAAAATTAAAGAATCTGGCAATTGTTGTGCATGTCGATGGGTGAGCAGCTGAAATCCATTTGCAGCACGTCATCTCAAATATTTAGTTACCGTACATCCGCAAGCAGGAGAGGGTATACAATTTTCCTAGTTCAAATATCAAACGCAACTTTGAAAAATGCAAACTAGTAATTTCTGATATCAAGGAAAATGTCTGACAAAAATACGTTTAAAGAACAGTAACATCTCAGAATTTTCGATTACAATAATTCTTTAGAAGTTGTCCTGGATTCTTTGACAGGATCACGGAGAAAGCACAATCACCAATTCACAGCGTACCGCGTATTTTACTTCATTCCATCAATAACGCCTGATTATTTCTGTCATGGCTATTGAAAAATTTGCCACGATGAACAATTTCATTGTTTTAACGATGAAATTCATGAATTACACAATAAATACACAGTACACAATAATACAGCACAAGAAATACACAATTCCCCAATTTTCGACACATGTTGCCCAGATCCCAGCAATTGCGTTGTCAATTTTACCAAGATTCCTTATTTACTGGAATATATGAGTCCATGCTTGCATGGCTGTTTTCACGATACTTGACTCGATGTGAGCTTTTTCCTCAAAAAATTGTTGCACGTTTTGTGTTCAGATGTCGCTAACAATTCCAAATTTAGACCTTGGTCCGCCTCAAATACAGTACAGTCCCATATAACTGTATACTCCCAAGTCCCAACAATACCAACACAGGCTCTGCTGTGGATAATCTGGAATGATCAGCAATTGTTCAAAAAATTCTGGGAAGCCTCATCTCAAAGAAAAGAAGATCGACATGCTCATAATTTAATAACTCCCAAGTCCCAACAATACCAACACAGGCTCTGCTGTGGATAATCTGGAATGATCAGCAATTGTTCAAAAAATTCTGGGAAGCCTCATCTCAAAGAAAAGAAGATCGACATGCTCATAATTTAATCCTCATACGTATAGGAGGGTCTTGAATCTTTTGAGCAACTAACATAATTGGATCTGATGGCATCATATCAGCTATAATGATGATGGCTATTATTTCTCAATTAAGTTGTATGTTAAGTAAGGCATGATTTCGGATATTAAACCACAGGAAAATGATAAGTCGGCTCCAGAATACAATATTAAGTAAGGTGAAATAAAAGACATTACATAACACAGAGAAACACAAGAAACGAAGAAAATGGAAGCTGATGATAATGGTGTATAGATAAAAATGGTTGTCAGCTGCTATAAGGGGATTACTAAGAGCACAAAAGGGCTAACAATCTGCAAAAATCGAATTCTCATTTTAAAAATAAATTTAAAGCAATAGAATGTTCACAATTTCTAAATAAAAAATGTTTGGTTACTGTATCTTTGTAGTTTATTTTTGACTTGAGATTTGATCAGTGAACTTTAGTTGAAGATGCTCAACAACTCAAACAGCAAAAGAAAATGACAATAACTTGACTTTGTTCTTTAAATACGGTACTTTAGATGGTTCTCCATATAGGGCATTTGTTGCTCAATATTTGGACCCCAACTGAATTTTATGGCATATCTATACACTGCCTGTCAACCACCATACAATCAATGCACAAGGATAAGCAGCTATTATATAGCACACCGGTAACAAGATATAAAAAAATTGAGCTAATCAAAGCGCTCATAAAATGTGTTAAAAATTCCGTCCATCAGGAATAATTACTGTACCCTCAAAAATACTGTAATGAATTTGATGGATCTACAACACCCTTTCCACGAAGTATGACTACAAATTAGCATTTAACCAGACAAGCTAATTTTGATGGACGAGGGGAAACATCAGGGCTGGATCATGCCTCAGAGGTTGAAAATCAAACAAAAATTATATTTTCTACCAAGAAGCACAGTTTATTTTTATTTTTATTACAACTCGGACACAATGAACATACAAGTAGACTGTGCATTTGCATCTTCCAATTATACCTTCTCTATGAATCCAAGAACAAATTGACATTTTCGCAATTATGATGTAGATTAGAAACAGCGAAAATCAGTTCGAGGAAATGTATATGAACACCAGCTGCGTTTGAGTATTATACTGTATTTTCCAGGAACCCCCTTCAGGCTTTTAACGAAGAATCCGTCCTTTGAAGCAAGTGATCAAAAAAGGAACATGGATGTATATAGACTCAGTTTGATCCTCTTTCCTATATGTCCCCTCTCCCTGTATTCTCTACGTGCACAGGAGGGAATAGTATCATTTCTGACAGCTACTGCTTCCTTACACATACTGTATATGCACCTCACGGAATAGGGGGATCCCCCTGGCTGCACATGCACCATTGTCAGTCTTTCTCCTCCAGCCTATCTGTTGAGATCTTCACTCCTGTGTCATATCGTGGCGCAATTTGAAGAAGTGATGCTGTGTTGCATTCCTGCCAGGACAATTAAAAATATCTAAAATTAGCCTGATTAGTTAGTCAGAAACTCATGCAACACCAAAGTCATTTTGTGGATGCGTTTTTCAATTCCCAAAACTGTAATCTAGTTCATCATCAATACTGTACTTGAAAAATGTTTTGCAAGGGCTATTCACTGATCTGTGATAGGATCTTACTTGCAGCTCTTTGACAGTTGAGTATTAGACTAGTTGTATCACTGACTGCAATCACTTATACTGTACTTGGAGAACAGAATATATTTTACAGAATTTTGAATAGTCAAGAAAAACAGCATTGATAATTTTGAAGTGCCATATCCTGAGAAATTTTTTCAGATAATTGCGCAGATTTTTGAGATTAAGGTCTCAATGAGTGGCATTGTTCATGTGATTGGGGGAATCCACCATGTGTCAGAAAACTCAGAATCCCATGGTAAACCATTTAGTGAAACCTCAAGTAGGTGCCATCATTTGTCTTCTGGTACTGTACTATATAGACAATGGTAGCACTGATCTGAAGGTATTATATGAGAGGGCAGTTTAGATCAAAATTCTACAGTAGACATGAGCTTCTGCATAGAATTGTCAGGCAATTGCTGAGTTTATTCTACATGAGATACAACCACTAAAAATTTCAAGCTCAAATTTATGCTTATATGACCCTGCATAGTAAATGCCATAACTTCATTGATATTTGCCAATTTTCATTCATGACAAGAGCTTTTTTTGCACAAGGGAGTTACCATTAAATCTGGGGCTCCCTTAACACAAAAAGGGGGTAGATTTGTTCAGGCAAAATTTTAAGGGTGGCACTAAATTGAGAGTTGACAGTAGTAGAGAACTTTGTGTCAGTTGTCACATCCCAAAGCAGCGTAGCTGCTGCATCTGGCTGCAACCAGCCAAGAAAACTTGTTGCATTTTGAGGCCAGTGAGCCTTGCCAAAATCCTGTTTTGGCAAGACTCACTGAGTCTCACCCAAGGCCAAGAAGTGGTCATCACTTCCTCAATTTTCCCTAAAGTGGCCAATCCTGAGACAGGAAGAAATCACCTGAGCCAGTCCAAGCATGTGGATATATAAAAGCCTTCATTCCTCTTTGAGAGGAGAAGTGAGAATATATTGTTAAATGGGCCTTTGACCTTGACTTATCTTATTCATTCTTCTGAGCTAACCAACCAGCCAATCTTACAATTTACTCAGCCATTCTAAATGTCATGGGTCAAACAGATGTTGCCTGCTGACACGCCATTTCCCTCAGGATGACTAGATGTTGCCCAAGTAGAGAAGGTAAAGCAGTGGTACATCAGAACAATGTAGCATATGAAACACCACGTTTTTGTCATATTTGAAATTAAAAACATCATTTTCTAGACAATCAATTATGAAACAAATTACAAACAAAAGTAAAAAACAAGATTCCAAGGAAAACCACAAACAGGCCAGCCTTGGAGATAGTGATCTCCAGGGATTATTCAACTGGTGAATCAGCCCTGTGATCAAAAGAATAAACAGGAATTTTGTGTGCAAAATAATTAGTCACACATCAGCGGAAAGCCTTGAACAAACTTTCCACTGATGAGGACCTGGACCTGATCAAAACCTCCTCAAGCAGCAGTCAGTAGCAGTCTAACCTCAACTGAGAAAGGAGCCTTTTATTAGTGTGCTGAATATTTTATATTTGAAAACTTGCTGAAGATTTATAAACT